CAAAAAAAAAAAAAAACACAAACAAACACAAGCATGCTAACTTATCAAAATTTCAGTATTGCATTTTACGTATCAATAGGTTGCACCGTATACAATATTTCATTGTACCTTATTACACAACATGTTGCACCTTATAAAATAACACGTTGCATGTACCAAAAATTTAGACATGATTTCATTTTTTATTCAAAAAATCGAAATAAAAAACAAACTATAGTAAAAACATTAATTATTATATTTTTTTTAGTTACTTAGGTAATCAAAATAATCGACGGCCGAACTAAATAAAAAATACTATTATTTTTTATTATTATTATTTGTTTTTATGTATATTTATTTCAAACAAAACTATATTAAGACCACATATTAAATGAAATGTTAAAATATTAATTTATAGTATAATTAATTACAAATGTTAAAATATTTTCTTTTTATGTTTTTATAAAAAAATTATCATTTTTCAACAAAAAAATGTAAAATATTAGATTATTTAGACTAATTCGATAACCGATCAAATTAACTAATTAATTTGGTTCGGTTTTAAATTAGTTCGGAACAAAAGTTCGACCGAATCATACCGCACGATATTGACCGAAACACTGCACAATAGTGTTAGACACATTGCATATTAATGTATGCCAATGTGTACATTATTGTGCATTTTATTTATTATTGTTGTTCAAATATTAAGTTTATAATAAATTATAGATTTGCCTCAAGTACTAAATTATAATATATTAAAAGTTACAAAATTGCATATAGGTTCCATAGCTTGTCAATTTTTCAATTGATAGTCCCCCAAATCAAAAAATTTCTCCAACCCACAATCCACCACCGGCGACGCCGATTCCGGCAGCCACATTCCCGCCGGTCCTCCACCGTCTCCACAGCCACGACCACGCCGTCATGTCGTCCCTCAAGCCCTAACCCCCGAGTCTTCTTCTGCCACAAAATTTCAGCGATTTCATGGAATTCCGGCGACGGGCTCAGGCAGTGTGGCTCGACGGCCACAGAGGAAGACGATGAACGGGAAGACGACGGAGATGGTCGTGTTGGACATCTTGACACGGTGGTCGACGGGGGTGACGGGCTGAGGGTCTAACGGGCTGACGGCGGCGACGGGCTAATGGGCGGCGACGGGCTGACGGGCGGCGATGGGATGAAAGACGGCGGCGGACTGAAGATGTGTGTGTGTCTGTGTGTGTGTGTTTGTGTGTGTCTGTGTTGCAGAGTGTGTGTGTGTGTGTGTGTGTTGCGGGGATCTGCGTGTGTGTGTAGTGTGTGTTTTTTTTACTGAAAATATGAGAGTTGGAATTTATTGTGGTGGTTGGAATTTATGGTGGGCCTAATGATTAATGTGTATATATGTAATGACTAATTTATCCCTATTAAGTAGTCAAATATGTGTATTTGACCATAATATATGTTAATTTACAATATTGTCATTAATGATTGACCAAATTTTGACTTCATCTTAATCATTGATATGTAGAATCTAATAGATTACAATCATTCTTATTTCTTTCATTACAACGCTTTCTCATATGATCCCTTCTCATAATGTAGATTTTATGTTTTTATTTTTTTTTACTGTAATTTCATTCAATACCGCGTAATTGACAATTGCCTACTACCCATTGTCAATTCCAAATAAATGCGTTCCAAGTAGTGTGGTCTACATCATACACGGTTTGCTCAAGAGTCAACACTACAAGGCCAACAAAAAATTACGCTCACTAATTAATCTATTCTTCACCTAATCCAAAAGGTTAAATTTTATCTTTATCTCCGTATATTTGAAATATAAATTTTAAGATAATAGCTAATAATTACTATACATTTTTCTTAAATTTATCAATCACTCAGTCACATGTTACCACTACTAATAATTATTTTACTATTTGTTTATCATTACATTAATTAATTTTTATATCCCTTATTTCAAATATAAAGTTTTTTTAATTTTTCTCATAAATCTTTTTATTTAAATAAAATATTTTTACCAAATGAAACCATATCCAATCCACCCTTAATAACCCTCCTCCATTTGACTTCAACCACCGTCCCATTTCTTTACTTCCACAAGTACACACTTGGCACCAATTTTCGTTAGATTCATTTTATATCCAGCTATATACTTTGTAACTAAATATATTTTATATTTTAATAATATTGTATTTCATAAAAATAAAGAAATATAATATTTTTTTAAGTATGCAATTTTGATTCAACGAATATTTATTCTTCTTAATATTTACCTGAATTGCTCCTTTTTTCAAGTAGACTAGACAATTGCAGTCCGTCTTTTTTACCTTTCTCTTTAACAGTCAGGATTTTCATCGATTTTTTTTTTGCTTTTCTCTTTAATCTGACTGCCTTTCTGATCTCTGATTTTGAAATTGATTGAGATGTTTGATGCGATGGCTCAAAAATGTTTTCATAACAAACTTCGAAAGAACGAATATTCCCCCTGAGATGGTCTGCTGAAGGAATTTGTGTACATGAAAAACAATATACATTGAAAGCGAATTTCCCTTTTTATTTATTATTTTTTATTTTGTCGTGAGTGTTTGATGGTTATGGGGTGTATCCCCTGCTTTAGATCATCAAAGAATGAAGAACATAATGGTAACAGGAATGGAGTTAAAGGTTTTACAAAAGAGGAGTCATTCAAAGACAATTCAGCGGCTCAATCAAACAGCCATGTAAATAGAGTGAGTTCAGGTAAAAATGGCTTCACTATGTTGCTATCACTTTGTATTTTTTTTTCAAGATTTGTATCTGTGCTTCAATATCTTCGAATTTGCATATATCACTTTTTAAGCTTAGTTTAGTGGGCTTCTTCCCCTTCCCCAGTCTTGATCTCTGCTACGTCTGTTCTTGGTGATTTGTACTAAAGCACAGTAAAAAAAAATGGTTAATTCAAAAGAGTTTAACCCATCCATAAGATAGAATGTGGAATGAGTAGAAAATTTGTAGTAAAACCCTCAAGTATTTGTTTATTCAATACCACACTATTTGATATTGGTCTCGTATTATTTCTTAAATCCTTGAATAGCTAAGGATGTATTAGGACAGAACTTGTTCTCCCTCACTAATCGACTTTCAAATTATAAGCATTTTCAGAATCGTAACAAATTATGTAAGTTAATACAGTTTCATCCAAGATTTGCTATCCTCACTTCTTAGTCTTAAGCATTTATCTTATGCTTGGCAGATAGATCAAAATCGCGAGGTAGTAATGATTCTAAGAAACCAAATTCAATCCCGAAAGAGTCGAATATTGCTGCACAAACATTTACCTTTCGTGAGCTGGCTGCAGCTACAAACAACTTCAGAACAGATTGCTTGGTTGGAGAAGGTGGATTTGGACGTGTTTACAAAGGTCATCTCCAAGGCACAGAACAGGTTTCTCATGATCAGTACATAAATGTTAAATAAATCATAAAATCCTTGCACTTAGAAAAAACAATTTTATGTTATGAAGTATCTTCTGCTCTTAGATGATAATTTTGCTTTAGTGAGTTTTACTTCTTGAAAATTGGAGTTTGTGTAATTTTTAATTACTATACCAGGTGGTGGCTGTTAAGCAGCTTGATCGAAATGGGCTTCAAGGAAATCGAGAATTTTTGGTGGAGGTTTTAATGCTTAGCCTTTTGCATCATCCGAATCTCGTGAATTTGATAGGTTACTGTGCTGATGGTGACCAACGACTTCTGGTATATGAGTACATGCCATTGGGATCTCTGGAAGATCATTTACATGGTTAGTTATTCTGGGCAAAGTGTTTTTCTTCATTTTTATGCTACCTGTTACTGAATTGGTTTTGGCTGGTTATTAAATTACATGTAATAGTATAAATATATAAGAAAGCTTGGGCAAGCTGGATCTGTTAGGAACTTTGATTAATGTCCTTGTTGATAAACATCCACATTTCCCACATATGAATTTTGCTTTCATTAAACATATTTAGTTGTCACAATATACACATCTTTCCCTTTAGCTGGTTGGTTCTTTCTTAGGTTGTGCTTGGTAAGCATATAAGCTAGCTTATAGCTTATTTGATTAGCTTATAAGCTTCTTGTATTGTATTCAAATAAGTTTGGTTTGATAGGAAAAAGCTCGAGCTTATCTCATAAGATTCCTTGGGTAGTTTTTCAAATAAGTCTATTGAAATTTTTATTTAAGCTAGCTTATCAGTTAATTTTACAAACACTTTTATCATATAAGCTGACTTTCCAGGCATAAGTTATCAGTTATAAGCTTAAAATTCACTTAAAAGCTATAAGCTAGCTTATTAGACCTAGGTTTACCGTTTACCAAACATAGCCCTAGTAGTTTCTTATGCTGCTTGTGCATGCAAATTATTGTGATGGCTGTAATTTTATTTGCAAACAGAACCTCACAGCATAATTTGTATTGGCCGTAGAAGAATGTATTTAATTCTTTAAAAAAGAAGAAAAAGAGGGCAAACAGCGAATATTTAGACTTGTTAATACAACTTTGTACTTCCTTCCTTTTATGTAGTAAAAGTGGTGTTGAAACTTGAAATCACACACAGGCTAATGAACTATCTGAATTGTGCTCTGTGACTTGTTTTCTACATATTCAAACACTTTCCAATCAATGTTGATGTGGTTTGCATAATAACAACAGACCTTCCAGTGAATAAGGAACCACTGGACTGGAACACGAGGATGAAGATTGCTGCAGGGGCAGCCAAGGGCTTAGAATACTTGCACGACAAAGCCAATCCACCTGTTATATACCGAGACCTTAAATCCTCTAACATCCTACTTGATGAGGGCTTTTTCCCCAAGTTGTCTGATTTTGGGCTCGCGAAATTGGGTCCAGTCGGTGATAAAACTCATGTCTCGACTAGAGTCATGGGCACCTATGGTTACTGTGCCCCTGAGTATGCTATGACCGGTCAACTTACGCTGAAGTCCGATGTTTATAGCTTTGGAGTCGTTTTCCTTGAGATCATCACAGGTCGAAGGGCCATTGACAACACAAAAGCTCCAGGGGAGCATAATCTCGTTGTATGGGTACGTGGTATTTATTTATTTTTATTTTTATTATTTTTTTTTTTAATTTGCTCCTCCATAATCTAGTTTTTAGATATTTTCCTCCTCCATGTCTTTGCTTCTTGAACATTATGGATAATTAATTAGTAGCGAAAACTACCCTTGGGGTTTAATCACAAACGAACCTCATCATCGTTCAAAAACTCGATTAAATGAAACATTTTTAATCAAAAAAATAGGCGAAATCGCTTTTCAAGGATAGGAGGAAGTTTGCGAAAATGGCGGACCCTCTACTGGAAGGGCGGTACCCAATACGAGGGCTTTACCAGGCATTGGCAGTGGCTGCCATGTGCTTGCAGGAGCATGCTGCCACAAGACCGTTGATGAGAGATGTTGTCACAGCCCTAACTTACTTGGCCTCACAACATTATGAGCCGTGCCACCTCAGCGGAGAAGAAGCAACAATATAACTAACATTTTCGCCCAATCAGAGAATGCTAGTCTGCATTAACATATTGATCTATTATGTGGTTTGGCTTGATTTGAGTACTAACATTTGCCATGGTGGTTGGTTTAGTTTAGGTTTTTTTTTTTTTTCTTTTGTTACCAGTCTTATATCTATTTGTTTTGAAGAGAAGAAGAGACCTTCTTTTTTAGAGTTTTAGATATGATGATGTTTTTTCAAGACCTGAATCGACTCGGGGTCGCAGCAACTGTTGACAAGTGGAGTGGTATGGTAACTATTAAATCAAGCATCAGCTACACAGCTAATCAACTCTTGTTTACACTCTCATTGGCCGACTACAGATGATTCAAGTTCTAAAAGAGGAAAATTGTATACATTTGTTACAAATGATTCATAGTTTAAAGAGGAAAATGTACCTTCAGAATGCTATTACATCTCTCTTATGTTTATATATGTAAAAGCATGTTTCTAGAGTGAATTCTATATCATGACTCATTAGAGTATCCAAAACACAGGGATCATGCGAAAAGCATCTCCAAAAAGTGCAATCCTTTTTAGTTTAGAAAGGATAAATTCTAACTTTTGAATGTAAAGACCTTCCAATGTGAATTTCATGTAAAATTTTCATATAACTATAGTTCTCATTAGTAAACTCGATCTCATAATTAGAATTATTCAACAGCTAATTGAGTTGTTAAAGATGCTTTCATGACATTTTCCCTTATTATTGCATTTGCTTGATACTGAATCTTCTATGAACCACAAAGGGACTAACAATTTTTTGGGACATTGTGACATACATTGGAAGAGAAAAATATGACATTTACAAACAATTTTGTCACAAATGCCAGCCAATTCGTTATATGACATACCCGCATGACAAGAGTGAATTACCAACTTAGTAGGCATATTATACTTATAAAAGTTCAAAACAAGTACACTTGACATTTTCGGCACTAAAAACTGGCCAAACATAATAGATCACTGGTTTCGCGTTCAAAATACCAGTAATTCAATAGCTACTCTAGCATTAATCATCTAAGGAGGCCTCCCATATTCGAACGAGGGACTTCTTGCATCTAAATAACATAAATAATCTAAGTAGGCCTTTGGTTACTACTGTCCCAAAAACCAATAAGCCAAAACTGAGAGAAAATCGCAGCCAAATGGCAGTTCAATTTCTATCAAGGCAAAAAGATAACAAATGAAAGTTTGAAAGCACTATCTGACATCATTTCCTCTTCTGTGCCTGGCAAAATGAATGCACATCTTGTTCAGCTACATGTGAAAACAAATCCAATAGGCAAAAAAAAAAAAAAAAAAAAAAAAAAATGGTGACGGCATGGCAAGAGACGACAGAGGCTTTGGGCCAGACTACCTCGCCACTGCCTGAGGCAGCCCTGTTGGCGAGGCGCTCGCTGGAAATTTTTTGTTTAATTTATTGTTTATTATTTCTGTTTGACTTGTATGTTTAATTTATTAAACATAGAATAGGTGTCTAATGTTTAGTTTGTCAATTTGAGTATTTGGCAATTTCTCAAATTTGACAATTTCTATTTGTTCACTTGGTGTTTGTTAAATACTTAAATTTGTGTTTGTTAACTACGTTAAGGGGATGGTTGGATACAATTTTTTTTCAAAAAATTCCTATCATTTTTAACCAATCACTTTTTTTAACTCAAATCTAACTCAACTTTAACTCAACCCCACTATCATCAATATTATCAATATAATTAAATAATACCACTCAATCATTTTTACATATTACATCAACTTTACTTCATTGTTCATTCACTCACATAATTTTAACTAATCATCACTTCACATTATCTTTCTCCTACTTTTACATCAAATCAACTTTAATTATTTTATTTTAAATATCATTTTAATATAAACACAAAAATTCCACTAACCATACTACTTTTTGCAAAATTAACCATACCAAACAAAATCAAAATATTTTATATCCAAGCATCCCCAATTTTTGGGTGCTTTTTGCAGATATTATAATAATTATTATATTACAGTTTTGTTTCCAATATTTATTTACCTGTGTGTGCCAAACGTTATGTATTATATGTACTTTTTTAAGATGTTTGGTGCTATATTGACTTGTGTTTCATTTGTGTTCTTGCCTTTGTGGAAGATATTTGATGTTATTTTTATCATCTAAGCACGCCTGTTTTGCAACACCATCTAAGGGCCAAGTCCGTAAATAATAATATTGTTTTTTCTACAATTTAGTGACGTGTAGTTGAGGCCTCGCCATGACGAATCGCTTCGCCATGGCAAATCGCCTCACCTCATCATTCGCCATTTAAAACTATGGAAAAAAAACATACCGAACTAACATAGTCATCCATCAAAAGTTGTTTCCGCTTCTTGAGGGTGGATGGAGGGCTCTCCGCAGCCTGTCTAGCAGCAGCACGCTTTGATGGGGTTGCACTCTGTTGGGGAAAAAATAAATAAATAAATAAATAAATAATAATAAAGAAAAGAACACACACACACACACACACACACATCATAGCAACTTAAAAGTTTAAGAGTCCATAATTAGGAGCAATAGTTCCTACAGTTCTAAACAAGATTCATCATAAATAGGAGGGGTTACCTTTTCTAGTTTTTTCTCTTTGCGTGCCTGTCTCTCCTTCTCATCATATTCTTGGTTTTCTCTCTCCACCAACCGAATTAGCGTATCACATCTCCTTGCAATCTCTTGAGTTGTACGCGATTTTACGAACCAATCAAAGCGAAACAAAGGTGAAGTACGAAACGCTGCCTTCAGCTCGTCCCAGTTACCATAGCCAAGCTTGTGGACCATGCATATCTTGATACAGAAGAATAGTTTAACCAGAGTTATACTCCTGAGATTGGCGAATGGAACAATAAAAGGAAAATAGACTCAAAAAGAGCTAAAATGTATATTTGAAGTCTAACCATGAAGCGATCACATTCTTCATTGTACAACTTCCCTTTGTTCTGCCCATACTGGATTTTCAACTCCAGCCAAGGGTTCTTATAACGGTCCAATTTCTTCCCAATAGCTTTCATGATCTCATCTTTCCGTGAAATTCTGGCTTCTCCTCTTTCAATATTTTTAATAATCCTATCATACTCTGGAAAAACAAACATTCATAGGTAGTATGATGTTATAGATGCAGAGCAGATAAACTTTAGTAGTTTCAACACAACCATAATAATTTTGAACACAAAGGTCATGAATTGGAAAGAGAATTCACTTGGATGCTTAAGATAACATATCGTTGCAGTTTAGTTCAATATGAACAAATAAACTACGAGATAATTATATAACATGTCCTTGCAGTTTAGTTCAATTGGAACAAATAAAACAATTGTCCTTCAAACTTACGAATAGTACCCCATGAGATTAGTTTGTCTGACCAACCCCTCTCAATAGGTGAGAAAACATGTCAAATGCAGGTAGTCATAATTTCAGATAATAAAATTTTATATTTAAAACTATGCAAAACCCCCGGAGTACTAATTTAATTATTGCTTAATAAATTATATATCATAGAGTTGCTGACAGCACATGTCATTTACCTTATCCTAGGAAAGATTATTCAAGTAAACAAAACTCAAGAATTCGCATCCAGGTTATGAAGACACGTGAAAAAACCTAAAAATGGAAAAGTTTGTGACTAAAAGTAGACAACCTCAATGCTCACCATTCAATTCTTTATATCTTTCCTTGAAGACCTTTGCATATCTTTCTACTTCGTCCAATGTTTTCCCCTCCACTTCAGAAGCAATACTCCTGATATCATTTCGACCATATTTTTCACATGCCCTGATGAAGGCGTTAAAATCTCTTCTGCTCCATGTTGAAAAACCCTACACTCAACAGTAGTCAAGAAAAAGCACAAGCTAACAAAACAAAGTTCGAGTCATGCAGAAACTCATGAAATTTACCTCTTCCAGAAGTTGCTCCTTCTTTCCTGCTCCTCAACAGTCAATGGGTCACCCCCCTCTTAATACATTACAATATATCAACACATTGTACAACAGAAATTTGAAATAGTAAAGTTCACATTGTCAAAATAAACAGACCTTCTCGTTCTTCCACCTCTAAAGTGTCCTTAACTTGATTCCTTTGGTTTGCTTGCTGAAAGTGATCGTAACAGAATAGGATCAGCCATGAAAGGTTGATAAACAAAAAGGAGCTTCAACAGAAGGCTAAGCACCCACCATAAGATAGCGCACTTCTTTTTCATAGAGCTCACTAAGGCGCTGCGTGTTGAAGAACTGGAAATCGTGCCTGTAAACAACGAGAAATGTGAGAGATGCAGACAACTTTGTTATACTTAAAAAAGAAAAATTAAACAAAACAAAAATGCATACAACTGTGGCATGCGGGGAATTCGAGGCTCTTTTGGTCTTGCGGAACCACTTTGTCTCATTGTCTGCTTGAAGTACTCCGATTCAGAGTAACTGAAAAATAAAATATTGAAATTTAAAATCATCCTTACTGACTAGATATGACACAGAAGTATATATATATTTATGTACAGGAAACATACTTGCGCTTCCTCTCTCTTCTTGGTGGTTCGATCCAATTTTCACTGACTATTTTCTTGAAATCAAACTTATTTTCATCCTTTACCAGCACAGAGAAACACGAGTTACGAAAGAAAAGGGAAAAAAACACAATAAGTTCAAGAAAGTAAGCAACTAGTACAGTAGGTATACCTTGTCATCATCAAAATCATACAAGTCAGCATCTGCGGAAAAACAAATAGCAACATTAGCCTTACAGCAACAACAACATACCCAGTATATTCCCAACAGGTCAGGGTCTAGGGGATCAGTTGTACGCAGACCTTACCCTTGTAATTATACAAGGAGGCTGTTTCCGTAGCGACCCAAGGTGCATTGCGCCGTTTGATATATATATTTTTTTTTTCTAGAAACTTCACTAATAGAAGAAGCACTAGTGACTTGATAGCATAAATGAATTAGCAACATTAGCAAACATTAGCCTTATCATAAATGAATTAGCAACATTAGCCTTATTATTAGAAAAAAGGTCCTCATAAATGAATTAGCAAAATGACCATCAAGAACCAAGTGAAGAATAAGAAGCCTACTATCATCCATTTTAAATTTGATAGCATCTTCGGTAAATTTCTTCATCTTCGCATCAAGTTCAGCTGTTGCCTCCTCTCCCTTGGCAATAATCCTATCTATATCTTCATCAGTGATTGTGCTGTCTTTGGAGCTGAAAACCATTTCAGCACCAAACCTTACCATTTGCAGTAGCTCATCCTTATTAACAGCTGCACAACAGAAAATTGACAGGACATCAAACTCCAGAAAACACACAACTATGATGTTGCCCATGGAAATAAACTAACATGATGGATAATAATGACTCACTCTTTTGCTCAGCTAGCCGCCCTTGTTGGATAACCAAGGCATCAAGAGCAAGCTTTTTATAAGCCCTTTCAATCACTTTTTCTTCAATGGTATACTAGATAAATCCATAGCAAATTCCATGAGCACACTCTGACCCCACAAATTTGATGCTTCTATCAATAGTATCATAGAAGATGATAATGAATTAGCAAGACAAACCTCAGTACAAAACCGAAAGACCTGTACTTCCTTTTTCTGTCCAATCCTATGAGCTCGATCTTGCGCCTGCAAATCAACCTGCGGGTTCCTGCAATCCATTGAAGTGAACAAAATCATTTTCAAATAAGAAACTATAGCCTTTGACATATCACTAACAACCAAAAATAGAATAAGCAAAGTCTCACCAGTCACTGTCGTAAAGAATGACAACATCAGCAGTGGCAAGGTTGATACCAAGACCTCCAGCTCTGGTTGACAGTAGAAAGACAAACTTTTCGCTTCCAGGTTTGTTGAAGGCCTCAATAGAAGAGTCTCGATCATCACCACCAGTATTTCCATCAATTCGACAATAGTAGTATCCACGGAACATCAAGTAGTCTTCAAGAATGTCCAGTAGCCTTGTCATCTGTTTCATGCAACCAAATGGAATTCACTCAAGGCAGTTTATGCAAAGTAGAATGAGTGGATACAATCTAGAAGACTGTTGAAACTCAATCTAGAAGACTTATATCAATATATTTGGAGAAAGTGGATACCTAATGCAAGCACACTAACCTGTGAAAATATCAAGACTCTGGAATCACGCTCCTTCAATTTTGGAAGCAACTTGTCAAGAAGAACCATCTTGCCTGCAATGAATAGTTATAGTAACAATAATTTACATCATTTCACTAACAATATGAAATAAAGATGGTCAAGTGGCAATCCCATATATAAACAGATATATCATACAATTTTGTACATAATTCGGCAGAAAGACAATACCTGCATTTTCAATGAGATGATCTCCAGTGGTATAAGGTGGCCCAGGTTCAGCACCTTGAAATAAATATGGATGATTACAACATTTTCGTAGCTGCATGGCTATATTAAGAAGACGTTTGCGCTCTCCACCAGCATTTACAACTTCAAGATCTTTCTGCAGTAGTGCCCTATAGTATTGCTTTTGCATTTGAGACATGCCAACTTTAAGTATTGTTTCCTTCTTTGGAGGTAAACCTTTCTCAACATCAGACTTCAATCTTCTGAGAAGGAAAGGCCGAAGAACCTAAGAAATGATCAATGCCAAAATACATAGATTAAAAAGTACAAGATATATATATAAATAAATAAATAAATAAATAAAAAATGATGCACCTGCATGCATCCATGGAATGCCTACTAATACTATTCCAATCCCACCCAGATCCAAGCCAAAAACAAAGCCGGTAAGATGAAATCATACTTCATCATGTGATGATCAAGTTACTTGTTTTTCGTTATACTTCTCTTACCATCAGCATTGGACAAGAAATTACATGAGACATAACCATATGAAAGAAAAATGAAAAGGCTAACAGTCTCCAAATGCTTTGTAATCTACAATAACTTACGACCAGTCAAACAACCAAGACATTGCTGTACTGTATAATTTCACGCTAACACTGTGGTGTACATAGTAAGTTATGATCTGCTAATACCTATACATGTATTGTAAAACCAAACATGGTTAATTATAATATTACTATTACTGAGATACTAGAAGGAAAATTCTAAATTAATAATAATAATTTAAACATGTGGTAATCAACTTCGAAAGAATCCTAGACAAGTTCATTCAGCAGGAAAAAGGTTTCATTTACCATCAAATAATGGTATCGTAGTTTTACCTGGAAAATTGAATGGAAAATTTTATACCTTGTGAAGTTGCTGGACAACTTCCTGCTGATCATTTTCACCAGAAATTTGGAACCATTCGTCAAAAGTTTCAGCAGAGCTAAATATCTCCGGAAGCAAAAAATTAAGGAGAGCCCAGAGTTCATGGAGATTGTTCTGCAAAAGTATATTGCACATTATGCCCAGAGCTTCCAGATCTATAGATGCAAGCAGAGTGCACCAGAGGGCACATAAAAACCGTTGAAAATAAATGGCTCCTTACGGATTACCTCAATTTATATTATAATTTGTCAGAGAAGAAAAACCAATACCTGAAGTGGGGTCCCAGTAATTAGAAGTCGATAGTTAGTATTATAGAGCCTCATCGTTTTTGAGAGAAGAGAATTTTCATTCTTGATGCGATGTGCTTCATCAATAATAATATAGCGCCAGCTAAAACGGCGCAATGCAGTCTTTTCTTTGATGGCCATTTCAAAACTTGTGACACAAACATCAAACTTGCCAGCCACTAGTAACTCCTCACGTATGTATCTCTGGAAGATCAAGAATTTGAAGGAGTGAATAATTATAAAATGAAGTCCAGGGAATAAGCATCTAAATTGGCATTTCAGGCTTACTCTTTCATCAGGATTTCCAAGAAACTTTACAGCACGCAATACTGGGCAAAACCTCTTCATTTCATTCATCCAGTTGCCAAGTGTAGACTTAGGCGCAACAACCATGTGAGGGCCAGTTATTCCTCGGAACTCATGCAAATAGCCCAGTAAGGAGATGCTTTGCAAAGTTTTACCCAGCCCCTAAAAAATGAAAAAAAAAAAAATATGCAATATGATAATCAATGAACCAAGTGGAGGGTAAAAAAAAAGAGTTGAGTTATACCATTTCATCAGCCAGAATTCCGTTAATGCCATTCTCATATAACCGTATCATCCAATTTAAACCAGCAAGCTGGTAGTCTCTCATCTTTCCTTGAATACCTGTATTTCAAATTAACAAAATCAACCGTCCATACTTCACAAAATAAACAGAATTACCATGCAACAAACAAGTACCTTATGATACCTAACATACACTAGTAACAATAAATAGTCAGTACAAGATAAATTGAGAGTATGGAAATTAATACAACAGTATTCTACTCCATAAGTTAAACTATTGTTCATATTCCAGCATAATCAGTTCAAAATAACAGCAACAGGACATATCTTCTTACATGATGGTTGAGCCACTAGCCTCGTATTCCCAGTGCCTGAAAGACCATCCTCTTCCTCTTTCAGACACTCCTCATCTTCTTCTTCTTCAGTTAACTTAGACGCATGGCGACCCCTGCACATTGAGGTTACATAAACTATAGAAACTATCTTGGTCAAAAAAATCATAAAAAAACAAGAAAACAAATTTAGTGATCCACCATCACCATCTATGACTTGCTTTCAAGAACTCACCTTCACCAATCATTTATTTCCAAAAGTCACCAAGACTAACCTTCACTCAAACACCCAATGCCAACCAAATGTGCAATTATAAAATAAAATGGCAACAAAGATATGAAAAAACAGAATAATTCCTACTGCCGAATGAATGGGCAAGAAAACGAGAGAGGGTGCAAAGAAAACGAGAAAAAGAATGGGCAAGTACTAGCAATGGACATCACGGATTCAGGTGTCTGTAGGTTGCAAAGTGACATCTAGAGAAGGTTGAAGGACATGCACACTAACTATTCTTTTTCATCATTATTGTGCAACTACAGAACTGAAATTGAACAACCTCTGCTTGGGAAGTTTGCAACTTTAAAAGGCAAATAAGTAGGGCCATAACAGAAATAACTCCACAGGCACAGAGAACAAAACCTGACACTAACTTGAGAAATTATTTCAATATCTACACTGCTGAATTTTCCATAAATTCCATTTCCGGTAACACACAGAAAACATCCATCTGTATATCCCAGAAGATGAGAACCAGTTCTTAATCGTGGTAGTAAATTTTCATAAATTTGCGAGATTGGATGAGAATAACACTTCTTAAGATGCTCTTGACAAAGACAGACTAACAAAGATGGTATATGATTGGATGAGCAAAAACATGAACCTGCTTAAACAGTCCCAGAGTATGCAGCATACCAGAACAGTAACTAAGAGAAGGCATAACTCACTTTCCTTTAACCTTCTTCTGAGAGACAGGCTGGTCACCCTTAGCAAAATGTGCAAATAACTCTGTTTGCTGCAATAGATAGTTCAATCTTCCTTTTCCTTTGTTATTCTGTCAGATGACAAACCAGATTAAAATATCATATTTTTCATGCTACATATATCATGTTATTCTGTCAGATGACAGCTACATATATCATGCAATATTTTTCATGCTCAGACACCCACCATGTCGGCATCAATAGCAGCATTCTGGGCATCTAATATTTCTTGTATTTTCTGCTTCTTCATCCTCTGCATTTCCTTAAGCCTTGTTTTTTCATGCTTCGAGATTTCATTTGCAACAGCATCATCTTCCTGAAGAACAATAAATGTAACTTTATCATTAATTATTCTATCATTCCTCAAATGTAAATAACTCTAAATCTCAACATACCTAAGCTAGTAAGAACTTAGATAGTCACTTTGAAACATAACGTAGCAAAATGCATAATATTTCTTTAGTAGTAATCCATTAAGGAAATCCAAGCACCAAAACAACTGAACTATACTTAAGTGAAGCTGGAAAAAAATGAATGCGCATAAACTCAATTCCCTAAACTGTCAACTAAACCGAGAAAAAAAAATATATTTTCCCACCACCGTCAACAGCCTCAAATGTGAACTAATTAGAATATGATCCATTCAACAAAGAGAATAGTTTCACTACTGGAACTGAGATCTTAAAAAAAAAATCCAATAGTTTACTTCAGTTCGAGCAATATCAAGTGAACACTACCACCACAAACATCAGAACACACACCGAAATCATTTTTTTTTAAGACAACTCGCCAAAGAAACCAAACAGATCATCGAAGCTACAGTATAAAATGACAAACAATAATCATATGAAACATGCATGGGGTACAACCAAAAATATCACACGAACAAACCTCATTTTCGTTATCTTCTTGAGCAACAGCGTCGTCATCATCACCTTCTACATCAGAATCCTCGGCCGTACGAGCTACAGCTTCAAGCTCCTCATCGTCCTCCTCAACGTCGACCGGATGATCCTTGATCACCTCTTCCTCCAAAGAGGAATCTGACATGTAATTATCGGAGGAGTTGTTTGCTCGTGAATGTTTCGCCATATCGAGGGTTTGGTGATTTCGTTCTCCCCTTCCAAGAGAAAAGGAAGAATGTGTTCTGTTTCGAGTATAAATGAAAAGTAGAAATATATCGAAGCTATGGATCGGGTTGACCCGGGTCAATAAGTTGAAATTTGGATACTTTTATTGGATATTTTCCCGCCACAATGCGTGGGTTTCCCGCGAGTGGATTGGACCTTTTTTACAAAGGTGGACTAGCACTAGTGTACTAAAAATCGGCTTAAGCTTGTTCTGTGATAATTTTCCAATTTTTCTTAATATTAATTATATTATTCTTTTATTATATTTTCTTTATAATAGATTAATTTTACGGTTATTTCCTCAAAAATCTCTAATGTATATTTCAAATTCCTCCTCAGTCCCCACCACTTTAAAACTTCTTCTCAACTCCCTAATACAAATTTATCTTTCCTCTCAACTCCCCATATAAATACTATTTGTATTATTATTAATTTATTTTACTGATTAATTCATTTTAACAATTTTTGCACTCTCTCTCTTTATTCTCTCTCTCTCTCTCTCTCGCCTGTTCCTATCTCTCTCTCTCTCTGAAATCGCCGTGAAATCGCCGATCATTTCTCTCTCTCTCTCTTGTGCATCGCTTATCATCTCTCTTTCTCTGTCTTGGTGCGTCGCACGTCGCTGAAGAAGATTCCCCCTCCCGTCGCCATATCTCCAGTAAGCCCTCTGTCTCCGACCAAAATGTCGCGGTCGAAAAAGCCGTCCGTCTCCGGGAAGCCCTTGGTATCGGACAAACCATCTTCCTCTTCCAAAGCTTCCAAAGCCGTAAGTAATGTTGATTTTTGGGGATTTTATTGAACTCGAAAATTTAGGGATTTTTACAAAATTTTGATTTTTTTTTCTTGAATTGGATGTTTTTAAAAATTTGGGATTTTTTTTATGGGAATTCACTTCGAATTTGGGATTTTTGTGATAAATTAGGGCTCTTTGCATGTAGGGTTCATAATATTTTTTTATTTTGAATTAGGGTTCATAATATTTTTTTATTTTGAATTATGGTTCTTTGCATGTAGGGTTCATAAATTAGGGCTTTGAATTTGAGATTTTATTGATAAATTAGGGCTTTTTGCATCTAGGTTTCATAAACTAGGGCTTCGAATTTGGGATTTTATTGATAAATTCGAAAATTAAATGTTGTTACTGTTGTTATTTGCGAAATTAGGGTTGAGGTGTTGTGAATTTCAGTTTGAATTGGTGTTTTAAATGTTGTTGCTGTTGGGATTTTGTTGCTGCTGCTGAGATTTTATTGGTGTTTCTCATTTGTTATCAACTTTCTCATAACAAATTGATCCAGTGATGCTGTTTTTCATTTTGTTGATGTTGTTTTCCATTTTGTTATGTATTCTATAATGTTGCTGCTGTTTTCCATTTTGTTGCTGCTGTTTTTCATTTTGTTCTGTATTCTATAATGTTGCTGTTGTTTTCCATTTTGTTCTGTATTCTATAAGTGATCCAGTGATGCAAGTTGATCCGATGCATTATCTGTGTTTTATATTTTGTGATAGGGCACTGATTTTAGAAGTAGATGTTCCCCATCTTACTTTAAGGATGTGATGGACCGAACTCTTGTTGTGTTGTCTGATCAACACAAGCAGGCTCTTCAACAGAGCCCTTTCTATTTTATCGTTAACATGCCGGACATAGCCATTTCACATGGCAGAACTGAGGCTCTAATAAGCACATACACGGCAGACATGAATGCCTTTGTTGGAGTCCAAATCCCTATTCGATGGTTGGGGTCGGGTTGATAATAAGCTTTTGAAAAGAAAGCACGTTGTAGAATATTTAGAAAAATTTGCTGTGGATGAAGGTCGCGTAGACGACTTCATCAGGATGTTCACTCTATTTGTGTTTAGCTGTATATTGTTTCCTTGTTCTAGTTATTCCATTCCTAGGTTTGTTTACCCTTACCTAGAGAATGTGAGTATGCATGGGGCGATGCTACTCATAAATTCTTGGTTGCCGAGCTTGTTCGCCATAGTGAATCGAGAGAGAGATCATACTTTGATCGATATGCAATTGGATTGATGTTATGTATATATATATATATATGTGTGTGTGTGTGTGTGTGTTTCAATGTCTAATACAATAATATTTAATTGTGAGATTGTGTAATTTTGAAATAATGTTTATGTGTAGGCTTGGTTGTACGAGCGTGTGCCTTCTCTGGGCAAACGGTCCACACTCGAGGCGATTCCCCGTCTGTTTCGATGGACGGGGAGCAATTTGCCGTCTACAATGGAAGGGTGTTTAAAATCCCTTCAGAAAATAATGAGGCATAAGGTAATTTATATAGTTTTATAGTATTATGTTTTTCTTTCTTCTTCTTTTTATATTTTTGGTTAATCGATATTGTTCTTAAATCATTATGATTTGCTTTGCAGGTGTATTCAGTATCGCCTTTGTCTGTCGAGCGTGCTTTTGTGGAGACCCAGGTTTTCTTTAATTTTGATCGACAATTTATGTTTCAACATTAAAAAAATTTCAATTAAACATGTATCTTTATTTTATGTTCCCTTTAATTTTTGTTTTTTCTTTCATGTACAGGGAACGGTCGAGACCCGTTTACTTTCCTTAAAAAAAAAATTGAACTGTTGGAGAGCGAGTGGACACAAAAGAAGGAGGAAGAAGAAGAAAAAGAAAAAGAGAAAGATGAGGGGGTGGAAAAAGAGAAAGATGAGGAGGAAGAAAAAGAAAATGAGGGTGCTGATGGCGGTTTTGACCCGATTGACTTTGAGGAAGAAGAGAAGGAGAAAGAGGAGGAAGAGGAAAAAGAAAATGAGGAAATAGAGGAAAAAGAGGAGGAGGAAGAGGAAAAACAAAATGAAGAAAAAGGGGAGGAGGAGGAGGAGGAGGAGGAGGAGGAGAAAGAGAACGAGGAAAAAGGGGATAATAAAAAAAGGAGGAAGGATGGGCTGTGGTGGTGTATGGGAATAAGGTAGATGATGAAAAAAATGATTTTGTTGACTTGAACCGATTGGTGAACCTGGTGGTGGAGTCTGTCGGTTTGACGGGGGGGCTGAATGAGCCGAACTCTGAGCACGGTGCTCAGAGCTCGCACCGACCATCAGAGGAGAAGCAACAGACCTCCTCCATTGTGAAGAGGGTGTGGGAGAGGCAAGGGAGGAAAAAAAAAAGGAAAAGGCAGCCGATTTCATGACCTCCCTGTCATCCGCTCCAAAGAGACAAAAGAAAAAAAGAGTTGCAGTTGACTTCCGGGACTCATGATGTGGTAACTAAACTATTAATTTTATTTCTGTAATTTATGTTATTGTTCGTGTTGTATTCATAAAAATAACTAATGATTTTGTTATGTAGGAGAGTGCCGAGAGTCATTCTGATGAGTCTGCTTTGATGAGGTTTATAGGGAGAGAGGACTTCTGTGGCCATTATGACATTCAGGAAGAGGATCGTGGAGCCATCCGATCATTCCTGACGACCGATCGCATTAAGTAATTGAAATTATTTCAGTTTTGTAATTGTTTCATTTATGTTATATTATACTAATCAGAATTGCAAATTTTCGTAGCGAAATTGTGTGGAGCAATGAGAGAGTGATAATCCGAGGAAAATTGATGATCGATCTTTTGTTCGGAAACGAGTTGAATTCTCAACTCATTGATTGCTTCATGGAGATCCTACGTGGTCGCCATCCTCGTATTCGCTTTGTGCCGACTTATGTTCAGGTACTATCTTTTAATATACTCTATTAATTTTACTGAAATTGCTAAGAAAAATATTTAATTTGTAGGATGATGTGTTGAATGCGGTGGATAAAATGAAAACAAAAACTGCTTGGAAAACTGAAGATTACGCTCTGTGCGCTTCTAAGCTGACTAAAAGTAGTGTTGTCATGCTCGATGAGATGGTCCGTTCCTTGTTTGGTGCGAAGTATGTGTTCTTCCCCGTGCTGCACAATTCTCACTTCTTCTTGGTCGTCTACAAGGTTGAAGAAAAAATATTTGTGTACCATAACTCGATGGATACACCGAGGTACCGAGGAGCCGGGATACGTGTGGTAAGTGTTATTGACATTTAAACTTTGTTTTGTAGTTATTATTTATTTTCTTTCGAATTAACTAGTCATGTGTTTTGTTGTATTTTTTTTTTTTTTGGTAGGTCAAGTTCCTCGCAGGATATCTGAGTTTGAAACTTCGACTTGACATAAATCCAACCACAAGTTGGACATTAGGATACCTGAGGCAACAGAGCTAGGCGAAGGACTGCGGAGTTCACATGTGCATGGAAATGGAATGTTACAGCGTCGATACTCGAGAATTTTTTATGGCCCAAAATACTTGTTCAGCAGATGCCTATCGAGCACGGATGGCAGCACTCATCCTTAGAAATCCTTCTTGTTGACAGGTTGTTTGGCAGTTGGTTGCCATTTGTTTAAATTGGATGTTTTGGTGTGTAGTCTGATGGTTTGACTTTGATTGATGGCTGATTGTGGACAAAGTGGATGATGGTGTGATGTTGTCATGTTTTGAATGATAGTTTGTGGGTTGTGAACAAGTAGCCTGTTCAATTTGATTGTTTGATGGATGAATGGAATGTTATGGATGATGGTTTATGGACTAAGTAGTTTGAATGGATATTTTGGATTTTTTTGATTTGATTCCTAATGATACCTTTTTTCTTAATATTAGTACCTCATTTTTTCTGTAAAAGTACTCATTTTCCACTAGCTAGTACACATTTAAGGATGTGTTTTTAAGCTGTATACCAGTTTCTATTCATAGTAGTACCTATTTTCTTCACAATCGTACCAGTTTTATATTGTTATAGTACCGGATATTAGCTCATCGGTACCACTTGTAACGAACACATAAAACACTGAATTTCGGTCTCAAATGATGTTTACATGACAAATAATCACTCTCACACCAGTTTGTATAAGATTTATAACGTGTTTAATTGAGTTTAATGGCAAATTCGTCACGAATTCAACACACTAATGAAAAATACTACCAACACCATCTCATTAAATGGTACCAATTTTGGGAACAATAGTACCGCTTCGTCTTGTACGCAGTACCTGTTTTTTTTTATCAATTAGTACCGACTTGGTTTCAACGAAAATCCCTTGATCAATT